TCTATTACCTAAGTGAATGGTAAACGACAACTCCCGCAAGCTCCACAGAGCCAGCTTTCGTGACTACCGCAGATCCGGCAGCGGATGCAACGGATGCACAGGACCGAGAAACCACAACGAAGTACCGAAGGAGCAGTGAAGGCCAGAGGAGTGCGCACCGGGAAATCAATCGCTCAATAGCCCAGCCAAGGCAACAGAAATGCAAACAAAGCTCCTCAACGATTAAGCACCGCAACAACGTTCACAAAGCGGGAATTGCAAGAAGCAAACTGCAGAAAATCACACCCTGCCTCCTCACAGAAACAGCCGAGAACTTAGCCACCAAGGGACGTTCGCTAGCGAATCAATTCCAATGCCCATCAGCGACAGCTGCGTCAACGCCTGCATGACGTCGACCACGCACTGGGTCATGATTGCGCCCTTGCCTGGCGGAAACGGCTATGGGGTGTCGCTACTCTCGTTGGCAGCCTCGGATATGTCAGTTGTGTTGGCATTGAGTTGCGTAATTCCCAACTGTGAACCCTCGCCTCCACCCAGAAAGAGCCTCCGCCCAAAAGTGGTCGTCTCTGACAAAAAATTGGCCGGTGTCAGCTCACTCTGGAGAGCTTTGACGGCAGCCTTGAGTTGGCCTGAAGGATTCTGCGGCAACATCAACTCCACAACGTGCGTCCCTCTATGCTGCCGGGTCTGCTTGGGTTGGTCAGCTTGCCACCGCCAAAATCGGAGACTCCTTTCCTGAGCTAAGTGGTTATGCATGGTTTAGGGTTTAGGGTTTAGGGTTTAGGGTTTAGCGTTTAGGGCCTAGGGTAACATATCTTTACTCCAAGGTGCTCCCCCAGTCCAAAGAGAGCTTGTTTGATCGTCTTCTCCAAGCCCTTCGCCACAATTTCACAGCCTGCGGCGGGCTGGGACACTGTTGGTCGGTCATGAGGAAGCTGGCACATCAGCTCTACATACACAGTGAGGGTGGCCACCTGGGATTGCGATCCTTGGTGGAACCGACGGTGAACAGAGACCAACTGCGCAAGCAGACGAGCATGAGACATTTGAAAGCAGCTTGTCCTTTTCGTGAAACCTGTAGGCCTACTGATCGGTGTTCCTCACCTAGAACTTCTGACGGCTGCCAAGACTCGAAAAGGCAGAAGACACCGAAACCAGGGCATTGGTCATTTGGTAAGCAGCCTTACGAATGCTACTATAAGAAGCAGGCCCCCTTGTCCAGGGACGCTCCAAGCCGGGCCAAGCCGCGCTCGCACAGCCCGCATCAAACTGCTCGTTCAAGTTCAGAGAGCTCGAGGAGTTCACAGCAATGGAACAGCTTATGCTAGCTTCAGCCAGATTGCCAGCCTGTGCGTTTTCAAACACACACACACACGAACGACACACACTCAGATGCATGCGCACAGACAACGAAGCACCCAGCGGTGCCGCTGAGTGCTCGGCAATTGCCAAGAAGCCCGAGATGACCAATTCGATGTTTACCTTGTGAAGCTTGAGGCTTTGCAGGCGAAGAGTGCGCCAGAAATCACAGGGCGAGCGGCTGAGCAAATGATCTTGCGAAGCTTTACCAATTGTTTTCCAAACTTGCCTGGGATGTACTTGAAGATCCGATCCTCAGCTTCCCTGAGACTACGAACTAGACCGCTGAGACGCTTGGCTGCTTGGCTGGCAAGAGGCAGGACCACAAACTGCCTGTGCCGCTTTGATGTTGGTTGCGATCTGCAAACCATTCAGGCTCGTGCACAGAACATCCCGGAACCCTATTCTTTGCGCAGCATTGGTACCTTGGCGATGCTCTCCCCCACCGCGAGGGTCTGCAGAATACAGCGTGCGCGATTGCGTTTCTGCACCTTCTTCGGGTTGACCTGCCACGGGGCCCAGCCAAAAAACGGCTCTGTCCGTCGCCGTTGCACATGCTCTGCATGGGCTTTGACTCAAACATCTACCAAAAAAAACAACACGTTTTGAAGGCGTGGCAAGTGACCCGAGGTGCAGCTTCCTCGGCTATCGAGCTTCAGTCGCAGAACACACACAGACAGCAGACACACACACACACATTCCTTCTCCCTCTAAGATCCTAGCATCCTCGACCTCCTTTTCACTCTCTGGAAACCCAAGATGCAAGCAAGCAACAGCCGCCAGCTCTTTGGCCAGCTCGCTCGTATTTGTAGCCACATCATTGGCTGTCTGCCCGGCTTGCAAAACGATCCACGCAGCTTGGGCTGGAGTGATAACCTCGGGGGAGTACAGGACCATAGGCTTCGACAGGCAATGTCCCCTAAACCCTTCGGTGCGTGACCCCAAGTTGCCGCTCAAGCGGACCCGCTTTCTTGCCAGTCCAGGCCAGCGGCCTCAAGGTCAAGCGAACGATGAGTCAGCGATTCTGGGAGGCGATGGCGGCTTGAAACAAAGACTTCTTGGCTCGGCTTCCTTTGACACCAGGAGTCCAGTTTCCGAAACACATCTCCGCCGAGGGGCGGTTCCTCCCGAGCCGAGTCGTCTAAACCTTGGAGGCTGCCGAGATGTGTGAGTGTCAAACGGTCAGCGGTGGCCATAGGAGGTGAGAGGTGGGTGAGTAGGTAGCAACGGCAGATGGAGTCCGAGACCCTCAACCTAAAACCCCTGTCTGACTCTGCGTCTGTCCTTCCGTCCGTCCGTCTGCCTTTCGTACACAGCCAAAGCAGATTCAGGCAGGTCACATTGACTTGCACCCAGAGTGGGCTGGTCGGGTATGGGCCGAACCCAAACGGCTGCACCAATGCAGGTCAGCACCAGTCCAGCGAGAGCCTCGCACAGAGCTGAGACTTCAAAACGGCTTACGATTCTGTAGCCCAAGGAGGCCGAAGGAACTTCGAGCATCTCTCAAGAACACCAATATTCGTCCAAGCGGCCAGTCCCACGCCGACACGAAGGCGAAGGCGCCTCTGAGACCCTCCCTGGGAGCCCGGCGTGTCCGCGTGATCCTGCTGCTTTCGCACAGTTCCCCTGCTTCTGTCGCCCCGCACGGGGAGTAGTCTTTGGCCTTTGGCCCGTGTTTTGTTTGGGCATTCTGGAAGGAGGGAGGGAGTCAGGGAGGGAGGGAAGGAGGAAGCAAAAATGCTCTCTGCCCCCCTTGGCATGCATCCCCCGAAAGTCCTGCTCCAACGAGGGATCGGTCTCGGCAGGCTCCTGAGCGGCTCGGTCCGTTCATGCGACTCGCACCGAGCACAGCAGCCCGCAGCAGTACATGTCACTGACCCACTCTCCTCGAGGGTGTCTAGCGCATCGTGCACATGCGATTCCATGTGCCTCATGCATTGTTCGGCAGCTGCCTGGGCACCAGCAGTCTTCTTCGAGATCCGACATGCAAAGTATGACATAACATGAGAAAGTGCCAAGGCACATCGGCTGCACAGTCGGGCAGCTGCGTAATTGACTTGGAAAGATACTATGCTGCTTTGGACAAGCCGCTGAGGCCTTACCTATGATTTCGGCATATTCCGGCTATAGGAGATAATAGACTTGCAAACTCGTCTGGTACAAGCCAAGTGCTTCCTTCACTTTTATGACACTTTCAGGGCTACTCCCTGCTGGCGACAAGGCGGCGGGGCCGCAGACGGTGAATCATCCCAGTGGCAACAGATGCCCAGCATGTGATGGCCGGATGCTCTTCTTACGCGCGCACTCGCGGATTCGCTGCCCCTTTGGGGCTGCTGTGACCGTGCCTACTCTAGCCAACCAGCGCGGTCTCCGAGCTGATCAGCGGATTAAAACTTAACCTGCCTCACAGAGCAACAGCTGAAGCTGAAGCTGAAGCTGAGGAAAAGGTCTCAGTGCCCAATGGCTTTTGTACACTTCTCTCCAGGCCGTCGCCCCAGGAGCCGATCCTCAGGCAGCCAAGTGCAGAAAGGGGCTCGGCGAGGAGCTCAGGACTCAGGATGCGGCCAACTCACCCTTGCGACCCAACTCTTTTGCGATAGCTGCCAAATTGGTTAGGCAGTGCCTTTGGCGAAGGCTGAAGCACGCAGACCGTGGCAAATGGGGCAAGGAACGGCTGACTCTGAGGCTGAGGGCAGAGTCGTCTCATGCGCTGGGCCGAGGGTTGACTCGCAGATTCTGTCAGTCAGGATTTAGGGTTTAGGGGTGATCCCCACCCGAATCCAAGCTTCTCATCATGCACTGGGAGCGCAGCAATCGAGCTGAAGCAAAAACAAGTGGGGGGTTTCCGAAAATAGGGGACCCTAATATAGTACCCTAAACAGCAAGGACCCTTATTACAAGAACCCCAAAATAGGGTATACCCCTAATTTTCGGAAGCTCCCACGTCAGCAAAAGCGCGCTGGCGAGACAGCAACGCTCGCTTGTAGAAGTCTTCAGCTTCGCTTCTGCTTCCATCCTTCGCAGCATCTCTCGGGCATCGGCTCATAAGCTCAAAATGTGTGCTGGGTTTTGGGTTTAGGGGGTTTAGGGTTCAGGGTTTAGGGTTTAGGGCTTAGGGAAACTGAACACCCTGCTAAGTCTTTCTATTCTGCTTCTGCTCGACTTGATCGTTGCAGATGTGGAACCCATGTGTGCCCCTGAGCAGCAGGGTTTCCTGTTGAGGAGAAGGTCGCGGCTCAGAGCCGTCCCACCCCGAGCTGCTTCTTGCTCCAGTGTTCCGGCTTTGTCAGCTAGGACGAGCTGATACTTTCGAGACTTGCAAAGCTCTTTCATGATCTCTGCAGGTAGGTGCTTAATCACTGGCGCTCTGCCACTTCTACAGCCTGCGAGGTCTTCTCTGTCGCATTCCCTCGCATCACCTCGTGCGCGGCTATCTCCGTGAGTCTCTTGCTGCCACTCTTGGATGTCGGCTGGTATCTGCTTTGCTTGCCCGTCCGTGCGCATCAGCTCTCAACTGCTCACAATCTCTGTCCGTCGCACAGCATCTTCCCTACCTGCCACAGAGAGTATGCCAGCGCAATCATGCACCTAGGCGATGGTGAGATCGGAGATGGGTCGGGACAGGCGAGACAGATCGGAGCTAAGTGCGCAGCGACGCGGCCTCTGGATGCGAAGCGCCATAGCAAGCCTAGCACTCATGAATCTGTAAGGTTGCAAAAATCGTTGCGAATGAAGTCGTGGCCACTGACAGAAATTTGACATACGGGACAATCATGCGCCTGCTTTGCTTCAAGGGCTTTTCGAAACCAAGCCTCTCTCATGGTTGTGGGGAAGATTTGCAGAGCGGTACAACGTGAGGCAACTCAGGGTTTCATAGAACTCTTCGTGCCTGGGCTTCTTTGCGCCGCCGCACATCGCCAGCAACAACACCGGCCAGCCTGGACCAGAATCAACAAGTTGGTCTTTTAGGGTCCAGCAAAAGCTCTTGAAGGCCGCGGCTCGGTGACCGACCGCGCCTCAGAGGCGCGAACGGGAATCTAGTGGAATTTGTACTTGGAGGCCCAGGGCACTTAGTAAGAAGGTTATAAGTAGTTACCCCAATTATTACCCTACTTATAACCAACTTACTAAGTCCCCTGGGCCTCCAAGTAGTGTGCCGGGATCGCAAACAGACAAGGGAGCCACTCTGATAGGCAATTCCCTGGATGCCAACAAATGCACTTGCATGCGCCGGGTTTATCTCATATCAGTCGGCGAGAGTGTGCACGCTGTTCCAGAGAATTACACATCAGTGGCGAGAATACACATCAGCATTGCTAAACCCCCGTGTGGACGCTGTTTGTAGTCTCCAAGTCGTGCAAGCCAAATTTTCAGGAGATTTCGCGGACGCTGGACCGCATCTCCAAGTAGACGCTGCTTTTTCTTGGCGCGTGAATCGAAGCCCGGGGTATGGGAAAGAACTCGAGCTCCGCATTCCGAGTTTCGATCTCACGTATCGAGCGCTGATCTTTGGAGCTACACCCACCGTCTTGTGGGCTACACGCGAGAGCCATGGGGGTTACACCACGCGTGAAATTCGCGTAACGATGCTTGACCTTGGGCGGGTGTGGGTCTCCAGCGTCAAAGACGGTCACCGAGAGCTGTAAACAAAAGCGCCACCGCCAGCGCCACAGCGACAACGACTCTCTCCGCCCAGCAGGCTCACCTACACTAATGGACAGTCGTGCTTTTGTCTAATACTGCACCCTCCGCCTGGAGTTGCAGGGGCTTCGCAAGCACCCGCTCAAGACATACATCAGTGCTCGTTAGCGGCATCACAGCTCATCATCGCCGATCTCACTCGCTCGAGACGCGCATCAGTGGCATCACAACACACCAAAACCAGCCGTTCCCATGTCATGTAGACGGTCGATTCCACAAGCACCCGCTCGAGACAAACATCACTGGCAGCACAACACATCAAAACCAGCCAGTCCCCATAATGTAGATGCTCGACAAAACCTGCTGCGACTAAGCTGGATGCCTGTAGTTGTCAATACAAGTTGCCAGTTCGACTGGACATAAATCTTCACATAAACCCGGTGCACCAAGATCGGATTCCCAGCACTTTGGAACTTAGTTGCTTGGAAGTGCAGAAGATGAGTGCAAATTCGCGAAACCGATCAAAACCCCAGCACACCCGAACACTCAAAAAGTAAATCGGGTGGCAATGTGTGACCTGATCCTCGGATCTCAACTGACATAGGGTTTAGGGTTTAGGGTGATGGTCCGCATCGCCAGGCTTACCTCGCAGGGGACGGAGTCACGGATACTGGCCAGCATGAAAACGTAGAATCAGCAGAACCATCAGCCCGACGGGGAAAGAGAGTAGTGGTAGCAAAGCCGTACAGGTATAGCAGCAAGACAAGCGACAGAAAGGAAACCCTGGAACTGTGGCGGAAGTTTGCGTGCGTCTATTGACTGTTGCCTGCTGCCGTGGTACCTGGTTTCAAAATCCGGTGGCTAAATGCGATGAGGGATGTTTCGTCCAAGTGGAAAGAAAGCTGCCTGGCATCAGGCTCTTAGTTGTCCATAGCACTTGTAAGTTGTAGGCGAGACTCTTTCTCAGCAGTTCCTGTAAGAAGGAGACCCAAGGGCATGCCCCCGAAAGACGACCACGAATTGACACTTTGTTGGCTCGACAAGCTCTATGCCTCGATGCCTTCAGGCTCTATAGGCTGAGCCCTTCACCGCGTTTGACACAATGTGGGGGTTTCAGAAAACATGGGATCCTAATATAGTACCCTAAATACTGGGATCCTTATTATAAGGACCCCAAAATAAGGTACCCCCTATTTTCGGAAACTCCCATGTTTCAGAGGCATCTTGGGACATACGTTTGAAGGAGCTCAGGAAGCCGAGCTCGGAACCGTCGCTGGATGGCTGTGCCTCAGGATCTCAGGATGTCTCAGGCTCTTTTTCGCCCTGCTTGGAGGTTCATGGGTAGTTATAAGTGGGGTTATAAGTAGGTTAACTATATTTATAACTCATATTGGGGGTCTTATAACTCCACTTATAAGTACCCATGAACCTCCAAGTGGGCTGAGTCTCCGGCCCCAAAGTGCGGCATCGGCCCTCCCAGGCCGACTTGAAGTTTTGTTCAGCATCGGCCTGGGAAGACGCCGTCGACAGCTTGGAGAAAAACTTGCGGGCTTCCGAAAATAGGGGACCCTAATATTGCACCCTAAATAGTAGAATCCTTATTATAAGGACCTGGGGACCCTAATATAGTACCCTATATAGTAGAATCCTTATTCTAAGGACCCTAATATAGTACCCTATATAGTAGAATCCTTATTCTAAGGACCCTAATATAGTACCCTATATAGTAGAATCCTTACTCTAAGGACCCTAATATAGAACCCTATATAGTAGAATCCTTATTCTAAGGACCCTAATATAGTACCCTATATAGTAGAATCCTTACTCTAAGGACCCTAATATAGTACCCTAT